ACACACACACACACGCGCACACACACACACACACTGCTTTGCTTTGTTGCTTGTTCGTTTGTCTTTGCGGGTCAGCTGTCAAAGCTGCAAACTTGAATCTGAGCTACTCAAATATTTTCACTTCAAGAACAGAGGACAGGAAAACTGTGGGAACGTACTCTCGTTAAAGATAATAACCCTATTAGGGTTAGGGTTAGGTGTGTGTGTGTGCGTGTGTGTTTTCAGGGTAGACGTTGAGTGTATATTACAACAACTTGTGTATTCTCAAAGGTTACACAGTTCCTTTCTGCCCCTGACTGATTTTCACTGATTTCCCCACATCTCCCAGTGGGTCCCAGTATGTGGCTGCCCACCTCCTGAACCTGGTCCTGCCTGAGGTCTCTTCCTGTAAAAAGGGAGTTCTTCCCTCCCATTGTCACCAGCTCACAGGGCTCTGTTACAGAAAAATATGAAATAATAATAATAAAAAAAACTACTACTAGATACAGGTGCAGACTGAAGTAAAGGTTCTTTGGTTGGAGCTGGAAAACATTACTATACCTGGATTAGGGAGCAGTTGTGGCGACATCACCTGACATACACCATAGGGACATTTTTATGGTTGCTTGAGGTGTTCATTAAAAAGCTTCAGTTGTGTGATCACGTAACAGTTCAGTTTGAGAAGAGTGTAAAACAGAGGACAACGTCTCAATAGAGCCCTCAGACTGAAAACTTCACTCGTGGATGTGGGAATCCAATCCAGTGGGATTGGCATTGAGCAGGCTAAATAAGGATGGATTGTATGCCTCCAGCCTAATTGTTTGTTAGCCCACTGTGGAGTGGATCCACCACCTAAATTTAAAATGACAGACCCCCACTAAACACACATACAGGTACACACACTTCTGTCTGCTATCTTCTACTTTCACATTTCGTATTTTATGTCTGTCACATAAGAAACAAAAGCCTCTCATTTGAGGAAGCTAAAGTAACCTGTGCATAGTTCTGCATCACCCCCACACCTACACCCTACAACTGCTGAGGTTGTGCTGGCAAACTCATTTTTATTTAGTTTTTTACACACGTTTTACACTATTGAGTGTGCTCCAGCTACCGCTCTGCTATCCGAACCTCTCACGCCTCCTCTGGGTCCTGGAGCTGCTTTGATAGGGGACAGATGGTTAGAGTAATGACCCCATCGCTCCTCTGCTGCTGAGAAACAGACCACACCCACCACAAAATGTTAACACAGATTTATATGTATTTTCATGCTGAGGGCGATCTCAGTGCTGTGTTTATTTCTGACATGACAGCTACACTTCTGACTTCTGAAACCTCAAACTGGACCTCAGACTTTGGAGTGGCTGAATCCTTGAATCGATCCCTTTCAGTTATGTCTCTCTGTCTGTTGTCAGCACATGTAGGGACAGTGCACAGCGACCCTTCGACCATCCCATCAGTGTGTTGGACCACCAGGTAAATGGCGGGCATGCCAGATTACCAGTCCAGCCCTGTGCAGCAGTGAGCTGAATACGTTAGTTTCATTCCATCAGCCTTAAAACGTTGACCTTCACCCAAAGATCAAGCACTCCTAAGAATCAGTCTTTCCAAAAAGACTCACTAACTGAACAAAATGACTCTTTTTCAACTTAACTTCACCACTTGCCCACCTTCAAATGACTCTCTCCCTCTCTGTGTTTTGCTCCTTCACATGGATGTGATTGCTTTTAGTACCTTCTCTTTACTCTCATCTTCCCCTGGTTAATCCCTCAGTCAAGGCCACCTGTCTCTCCTTTAAGGCTTTCAAGTCTTAACAAGCCAATTAGGAGACTTGATTTTTTTCTTGCATCCACCCGGCCACAACACTTCGCTTTCTCTTTTTCAATCTTCTTTTTTAGCCCAGTCTTTAGTCTATTTTCACGATGATTGTTTAGAATTCCCTCCACTCTTCAACAGTAATTCCTCCAATCTTCTTTCCTTGTGTTCTTTTACCTTCACATAGTCTTCAAACATTGGCCTTCTTTGTATTACTGCAGAGCATGTTTATTTGTTTTAATGACGAGGATTAAAGAAAATGAAAAGTTATTCTTTCCACGGAAGATGGTCAGCATTTTATAATAATGCTTGAGCTAAAATGTCTTAAAAGGCACAAAAAAACAATATGTGGATGAATTGTCACAATTGGAGAATAAACACAAACGCAAGGTGGATGTCAAGATACAACAACAAATGAAAGATATTAAGAAGAAAATTAATAATTTACTCTTATATGACATGGAAGTAAAAGCAAGATATGTAAAACAGAGCTACTATGAATCAGGCCCTAAAGCTGCACGACTATTGGCAAGACGTTTAAAAAAACAACAGGCAGAAACAACAGTCAACAAATTGTATAATTCTAAGACAGAACAAATGACACATAACCTAGAAGAGATAGAAAGTATCTTTACCGATTATTATAAGGACCTGTATCTACAAAATGCACCTACTAATAATGGCCTAAATGATATTAAAACATTTTTAGACTCCTTAGATCTACCCTCTATTGGAACAATACAAAATGATCGCATGACGGCACCAATAACGATAGAGGAGATTCAGAAAGCGATTGGAAAATTACGAACAAACAAGGCACCAGGCAGTGATGGGTTTCCTGCCGAATGGTACAAGAAATGTGGAAAAGAATTGATACCCTTACTCCACCAGACTCTTAATTGGACTCACACTAAACATGTGATTCCCCCCTCTTGGAGGGAGGCAATTATCACGGTGCTGCCAAAACCACAAAAACAAAGAGAATACTGCCAAAATTACAGGCCTATATCGGTGTTGAATGTTGATTATAAAAATCGACCCTACAATCTGTCGTGATTTCGGTAGGGAAAGAGACGACACCTTGTAGAGCAAACAACTTCAACCTTTATTTTCACTTCCGGTACCCAACACACTTTCAACATAAAACCGGATATACTTAAACAGATAACACCACATCCTCCTTTCTCAGAAAACAACAACTTATTGAAACATTTACTGCGTAAGGGAAACTGTACTTTCGTTACTTCTTAGAACCTATTGCAGAAACATAGCTACTCTATTTTTAACTCGAGAAGCTTTGCTTTATTTAATCTCACAAGTTCAATCTTTGTGGTTTTATGACAACTCTGCCAGCTCTAGTTCTGACAAGACCTGGGACTTCTGTCTTGGGAGTCAGAGTTGTAGACGTCGATAGGTTGGGAGCTGGCAGGGTATTTTCTCTGGGACTGACGGGGGTAGATGGGGTCTGTAACTTTGGTGTGGACTCTGGCAATGGCTGGAGGTGACGTCTATTTCTCCTGATGGCTCCTGAAGGAGTCTCAACCATATAAGAGCGGGGTGTGGAGTGAGAGGAGATGACAGTCCCTTCACGCCTAGTGTCTGTAATCCACACTGGTTGCCCCAGTGCGAGTGGAGGAAGTTCAGTCGCCCGATGTCTCCTGTTGTACGCATCACTGTCCCTCGCCCTTCTCTCTTTCGCTTTTGCCAACACTGTATTCTTATTGGGCAGGCTGGGATTGAGCAGGGAAGGAAGCTGGGGAACTGGCGTGCGCAGTCTCCGTCCCATCAGTAGTTGCGCCGGGCTATATCCATTGGCCAATGGTGTTGCTCTGTAAGCTAGAAGTGCAAGATATGGGTCTTTTGCCTTCTTTAGCAGGTTTTTCACAGTTTGGACATGACGCTCAGCCTCGCCATTGCTCTGTGCAAATCTAGGACTGCTTGTTACATGTCTGAACCCATAAGTTGCTGCAAAGTCTTTGAACTGTTGTCCTGAAAACTGAGGACCGTTGTCAGTGTAGAAAAGCTCTGGAATTCCATGTCTGGAAAAGACAGATTTTAGGTGTACTATAACATCTTCCGATCTGGTGGGGGTAAGTTTGGCTATTTCCACGAATTTCGAGTAGTAGTCCACCAAAAGCACATAGTTGCTGTCATTGAGTGTAAAAAGGTCTGCACCAACTTTTTGCCATGGCCTCTCCGGGAGTTGGCTTGGCATTAAAGGTTGTACTGGGTTAGTACGCTCTTTGATGCAAATGGTGCAGTTTTTCACAAGTTCATTTATTTGCCCACTCAGACCAGGCCACCACACTGCCTCTCTGGCTCTCTCTCTCTGCATCTAGACATTCCCTGGTGCCCCTCGTGTAGGGCACTTAGGACAGAGTGGCGCATAGCAGTGGGGATTACTAGTCTGGTGCCTTTCAGTAGCAGATTGTCATGTACAGTTAAGGTCTCTCTGTGTGGCCAATATGCTTTAATTGGGCCTATGAGATGGCTGTATTCCGGCCAGCTGCTCTGACAAAAAGTCATGACCTCTGAACATATGCTGTCGGTTTTTAACTGTTCTTTTACCTGTGTGATGTATGTCGAGGTAGCAGGCATGCATTTGACAATTTCATCCACATAAATATTTGTGTCTTCCAGAAATTCGGCTGTAGCTTTTGAATCAGGGTCTTGGTTAACAGGTGCACGTGACAGTGCATCTGCTGTGAGGAGTGCTTTACCAGGAGTGTGTGAGATGGTGTAGCTGTACCTCATAAGCCTTAGGCGGAATCGTTGGATCCTGGGTGGAAGCTCGGTTAGGGCTTGCTGGCCTAACAGGCTGATGAGTGGCTTGTGGTCAGTCTCTAAGGAGAAGTGTCTCCCGATGAGGAAATCTTTGAATCTTTCACACCCCCATGTTAATCCAAGCGCCTCCTTCTCCACCTGTGCATACCTCTGTTCTGTTTCCGTTAAAGAACGAGACGCATATGCAACAGGTCTCCATTGCCCCCCCTCTTTTTGAAATAGGACTGCTCCCAGTCCATAGGAGGAAGCATCTGCAGACAGTTTTAACTCTTAGTTTGGGTCATAGAGTGCAAGAATGGGAGTTGACGTCAGATCGCCTTTCAGCTGCTTGAATGCTTTTTGCTGTGCGCAGCTCCAAACCCACTGATTTTTCTTCGAGAGCAGGTCTCTCAGGCGATCTCTTATTAACTCATCGTGCAGCGCACCATAACTGCAGTTTTCCGCTAAAGCGTAAAGTGCAGTGACAAACGAGTCTACAGTTTCATTAGCTTGCTGTGTTCTCTGATTAAAGCGGGCTCTCTCGTAGATAATGTTTTTTCTGGGAACAAAGTACATCTCCAAAGTGTCTCTTACTGCTTGATACTGCTGTCTCTGTATGTCAGATAACGCTTGTCCTCGGAGGATATCATCTGCTTCATCCCCCATGCAGTAGATGAGAGTGTTCACCTGGTTAGCCTCGGAGCTAAGGTGTAGGTTGCTTGCGAGTCGAAATCTTTCAAACCTCCTTATCCATTTTTCCCAATGCTGTGGCTTCGAGAAATCGAACAGCTCGGGGGGCTGGATGGTGAAAGTGGCATTCGGGGGTAGGTTAGCGTTAGCATTGTAGCCGCCGTTAGCTCGCTGGTGGGGCGGTGGCGTGCGAGGCCGCGTAACTGTTGCGCTAGCTCCCGCTTCTTCGTCCGACATCTTTCGTCTCGAGAAAACTCTTTACCACTCCCAAAGTCGCTTGCTGTCACTCCCCGATGATAAGGCACTCACATCCATCCCACTCCTGACACCATGTCGTGGTTTTCAGTAGGGAAAGAGACGACACCTTGTAGAGCAAACAACTTCGACCTTTATTTGTCACTTCCGGTACCCAACACACTTTCAACATAAAACCGGATATACTTAAACAGATAACACCACACAATCCTATCAAATAGGCTCCAGTCGTTTATACCAGACCTGATAGATGAGGACCAAGCAGGTTTTGTCAAAAATAGACAGGCACAAGACAATATTAGAAGGACCCTACACATCATAAACCAAATACATAAAGACAAGATACCGGCTGCATTGATAAGTTTAGACGCAGAAAAAGCCTTCGATCGAGTCAGCTGGGACTTCCTGTACCTAACCATGGCAAAGTTCGGATTCACTACGAAATCAATCCAATGTATCAAATCTCTCTATGACAAACTGACTGCAAGAATAAAAGTTAACGGTTCATTGACAAAGACGTTCCAGCTAGAGAGAGGAACTAGACAGGGTTGCTGTTTAAGTCCAACTTTATTTGCCTTATATATTGAGCCATTGGCACAAATGATTAGACAAGACGCCCTAATAACAGGAATAGAAATCAATAAACAAGAGCATGTAATTAGTCTGTTTGCTGATGACGTGTTGATAGCCCTCAAAAACCCCACAAACTCTTTTATGCAGCTCACAGAAATGTTAGGAAAATTTGGTAAACTTTCTGGCTACAAAGTAAATATACTTAAAACTCAAGTTCTAATGTTTAATTGTACACCAACTCAAAATCTTAAGGAATGGGAAATAAAGTGGGAGGCAAAAACCCTTAAATATTTAGGTATAAATATAACCAAAGACTATGCCAAACTATATCAAAGTAACTATGGACATATAAATAACAGGATAAGGCAGGATATGGAAAGATGGAATACATATCCGTCATGATTTAGTGACAGGATAAATGTGATAAAGATGAATATCTTACCACGATTGCTATATTTATTCCTCTCTCTTCCGATAAGCATATTCTCAGAATGGGATAAGTATATATCTAGATTTGTCTGGGAAGGCAAGCGGCCAAGGGTACGATACATTACTTTACAGCTTACTAAGGAGAAAGGAGGAATGTCGCTTCCTAATTTAAAAGAATATTTTCGTGCTGCACAGATACGCCACATAACATATTGGTGTAGTGATGATGACGGGGCTCGCTGGAAGGATGTGGAGCTCTCCACACTCAATGTCCCAATTCAAACAAACATGGGTATAAAAAAGATCCCTGAATACATAACTAAAGACCAAGATAGGAACCCGATTATATCCTTTACATTAAATGTATGGTATGATACAGTAAGGGAGTTCAGGATTGGCAAAGAGCTTGGTTTGCTAAAATGGATAGCCTTCGATGAAGAATTTAGACCAGGAAAATTGGATCTTGGTTTTAAAAATTGGAATGAAAAGGGAATCACAGCAATTTGTTTATTAATCAAAAAAGGAGAAATGAAAAGTTTTGAAGAATTAAAACGGGAATACAACTTAAAAAACAAGGATTTTTTTAGATACTTACAGGTGAGAGATTACTTTAATAAAAACATAAAAATAGAGGAAGACAAAATCCATCCTATTATAAAAATAATTATGCTAGCATATAAAAGTGTTATTCCAAGAACAGTGTCTACAAATGTTTGATGGAATCGCGACAGGAATCAATTGTATATGTTAAAGTAAAATGGGAAAGAGAGCTGAGTGAAGAAATCACTGAGGTGTGATATGAAACATGGAAAGAACATAAGAATACAGCTCAGTCATTGAGGTGGAGAGAATTCATCTGGAAAAATCAAATTCGCTACTTTATTACACCTAAGATTAAAAATAAACAAACCAATACACAACAACAATGTTGGAGGCTGGGTGGATGGGATGAACCAGACCACACACACATTTTCTGGAAATGCAGGGAAATTCACACTTTCTGGGTCAAAATTCACTCAGCTCTCTGTGATATATCAGGTTGTATAATTCCCAGAACCTGCCTTGTTTTGTATCTAGGATACTTGGCAGGTACTGTAGATGTAAAGGATCGATACCTGACTAAGATTCTCCTTTTGGCAGCAAAGAAGGCCATCACCAAAAACTGGCTTAAGACAGAGACACCAGGAAAGCAGCAGTGGTAGCAATGGTGGAGGACATTATGGAGATGGAGAACTTTACATATAAACTGAAATTGAAGGAAGAACGCTTTTTGAAGGACTGGGGAAAATAGTTGACGTACAACGGAAGGGGAAAAAAGATTGAACTGAATGAAGATGAGCATACAAGAAGAAAAAAAAAGTGAAATGAACGATGGAAATGTTTGACACCACATGTTTCCTTTTTTTTCTTTTTTTTTACTTTATCTTATTTTTCTAATTATTATTCTATATGTATCTATATTTCTATACATATATATTTGTTTGTTTCTTTTTCTTTCTAATTTCACTGTCTTGAGTTTGTGACTCTCTTTGTATTCTGTTATTCTGAAGAAACTGTATGCGTAATGGACAGGTGAGTTGTTCAAATAAATAAAATTAAAAATTAAAAAAAAAAGGCACAAAAAAACAACAGTTCAAGTAATATAAACTGACTGACCTCTACATATTCATCCACCCAAGTTCTTCATGTCCTGCTTAGTGTTAAAGAGAGGTACAATATTATCCCAAATGTCACTGGACAAGCAGTGTACACCCTGAATGGCTGTCAGACCAACACATGGCTTACACGGAGCCTACATAGGTACCTGTGCTGCATCCACACATACGAGGGTTTTTTCCTTATTCTGTAAATATCTTGACCAAATGACAGAAATGGTCTTAGTGGAGCCGTTGCTGTCAAGAAGCAATTTTTAAGAAAGGAAAACAGGAAGAAAAGGGCGAGGTATGCTGAATTATACAACTGCTGGACTGGAAATCAGTGGCAGCAGGGCTGATGGAGTGATAAATTCAAGTTTCAATGGTTTTGGGCTGCAGTGGTGTTAGAGATCTTGTCAAAACTGATGCAACGAGCACAAACAAGTTCTGTCGAATTTTAATGGTGTATTTGAAACATCTGCTAGTGTAATAAAGGATAACAGAATAGGAAAAACACACCACCAGCCATGAGTTGGCCTCCCTAGACCTCAAAATTGACACAAAACACATAATGAAACCTGACAAACACATGTTTTGTAATTAAACAAAATGAATCAAATCAAAACAATTCTCATTGAGTTCAGTGACAGCAACAGGGACAATTTTATGACTAGAATTACTGAAGCAGTGTTACCTTGATAAAGAACTGAGCAAAAAGCAGTGAAAGAAGAGCATCTTGAAGCTCCTTCAAACAGGACTATTCCTGAAGAGACAAAAAGCCAAGGTGGAACCATCACGTTCCACAGTTACTTGTACAAACCCTGTTGTTGGATCAACTAATTTTTTATTATTTCCATTATCCTTATTGTTCAGTCTTAAGTGACACCTTATTGCAATGAGAATCTGACACCGACTATGACTTAGACAGTTACTTTGTTTAACCAAGACTCAGTTGAATTCAGGGGAGATGTCCTGTATCTGGGAAGATTCTGTATGGTTCCCGTTTGTCATGTGGTAAACTCTCCAGCTATCAAACAGATGGAATGTCGGTTGTTATTAAATTACAGAAGTTTAAAACATTTCTATAATATCTATGAGATAGTAACAGTGAAAAAGTAAGAGATGATTTAACTATATTTGTTTGGATGGGTGAATAATGTCCCTCACACAGAGGCTCTCACTTGTTACTAAAGACATAAAAGACAAACATCTCATTCCCTGCAGTGGTGGCAGAATCCAATGAAACAAATCAGCCATGCAGACTCACACACACGCACACACACAGACACACACGCACACACACGCACACACAATCCCGTTCAGCTATCTTAGTGAGGACCTTCATTGACATAATGCTTTCCCTAGCCCCTTACCCTAACCATTAAAAATGAATGCCTAACACTAAACCTAACCATAACCTAATTGTAACCCTGACACTAAAACCACATTTTGAGCCTTTAAATATCTTCAAATTTGTGAGGACCGGGTTGTGTGTCCTCACAAGTGACTGTTGGTTCTCACAAGTATAGTAGAATGCAGATTTCGGTCCTCACAAAGATAGCTAGACAGGAACAGACACACACATGCACACACACACAGACACACACACACACACTGCAGTCAGCTTCAGCAGGTTCATATACTAATTAGTGTGTGGTTGTTGCCAGAGCAGCAGTGGGCTGAAAATGAGACAAATCACTCCAAAGTAATCATGACAGGCTCTCGGTGCCATTCATTAGAAATAGTGATGCGTCGGTCGCGAACGAAACAGCTCTTAGAGCCGGATCTTTGACATGAACGACGCGAGCCTTATCGCGAGCCGTGGGGGATTTTGTTCTTTCTCTCACCCTCTCTCTCTCGCACTTTCTTCCGCTTCACTCCGCACGCGAGCCTTGGCTGGAGCAGCATCTAATAACCAACTCGCAAAATAAAAAAAAATAAAAACAAACCAACAAACGCGAAAACACCAGACATCATGATACAGACTTATAATTTGCACCGATGTTTTTTACACGAAAAGTGAGCGAGAGCCCTCGGTGCGCCTGCTCGCTGCTGAAGCCAAAGTAAACTTTATTGTCATCTCTGCTACATACAGTCCAGTATAGAGAGACGAGACGACGAGGCTCCAGTTACAGCGGTGCAAGTAAACAAACAATAAATATAAGAGGAGTAAGAAAATAAATATACACTTTAGGACTCAATAACAATTTAAAATGTATAATTTATAGTTTGATGATTTAAAGTCTCACACACAACCCGGGGAGGCGAGCCGGCTGCTTCCAAATAGAGCACATTTCATTCATAATGTTGTAAATCCAAGCCCATTATGGATTCATGATTTGAATCCAGAAATAAACCAGAGAAAAAGTGAATCTGTGAACTAAGGTGTAGGTCTGTTAGGTTATGTTGTGGTGACCCTTGAGTTGGGGGATTTGTGTTCATACTGGAGTGCAAAATTAAAACCAATGGAAGATGAACAAGAAAAGTTCAAAGCCATCAGGTGCTCAGTTTAGAAAAAAGAGAAAAGAAGAGGAGGAGAAATGAGCAACAGATGCAGGTAAGCAGATGTGTGATTGGATAATGGCAGGTCATCCTGAAACAATCAGAATCAGAATACCTTATTAATCCCTGAGGAAATTATGTGGGTTACAGTTGCTCCAAGAAGAAATGGTAAAAATAGTAACAGCAACAGACTTAAGTGCAAACATTATGTTACAGATTTTAATATTAATTAGTCATTGTCAATTGTTGATTTGTTCCTCATTGTATGATGAATTATGATGGCTGTTTGGTAGCATACTCTCTCTCTCTTCATGTGTGTGTGTGTTTCTCTGGTGAAATTCAGTATGGTCCCGACAACAGTTTTGTGTTAATGTACAATTCTTAATATGTTTTATGGAGGTGGGGGGGGGGATACTGTCGCTGCAAGCTTTTCTTACCGAGCATTGAGTCATGGTTGTGGTTACAAGCTGTTATCAAAGACTGAGGATTAGCAAACAAAGGACAAAGCAGCAATTTTTGGATGTTTGCACATACACACTGTGGATAATCTTTGACTGAAGACCTGCTACCTGTGGTCTGTCAGCTGTGAAGAGATCTGCTATAGGTGACGACTGGGAATCAGTTGAAGGCAAGGGTGCTTCAAAGCTTCATGTAGGTCAGCTTCCACTGATCTGAGATCACTCATAATGTGACCTACGCTATTGTACATATGTGCAGAGAAGTGTAAAACTGTAATTAACAAAATGATTAGCCATTTCTCCTTTTAAGCAGTGAAGGCTAAAGGATAAAAAAAAATAGCTGAGTTATAATCTTTATTTATGAGGTACGAAATCAACTTGATCAACAAGTGTATGTCATGGCACTGGGTCTGTGAAATAGTGTTTATGTATTTAGTGGTATTCTAAGTTTAGTTATTTTCTGCTTGTGTTATAGTTCCTAGTAGCTAGGTTTCTGTTACTGTGCCTTCCCTGTGTTCCACGTTTCATGTCCAGTCACCCATCTCTACTCTTCATGTTCACTTATCTTCTGTGTCCGTTTGTTTGCATGTCCGTTTCTTCCCCGGTCGACGTGACGAGCCCGCATCTTGGTGTGTATCTAATGTTTCCTGTTTTATTTTGATAGTTCCTTGCTCTGTGTTCAGTGTGTTCAGTTTTGCTTCCATATTTCCCTCCTGTTTCCATCCCCCTCATTATCCTCTGCGTATTTAGTCATCTGTCTTCCTCTGACTCTTGTTGCGTCATCCCATGTTGCTGTGTGTAGTTTTCCGTGTTCCTGGTTTCCATAGCTCCTAGGCCGTGCTGTTCGTGGACATGGCTGAAGGCACATGGGAGGCTTGGCAGGCAGCTGTCATGCAGGACCAGATGGCACAGGACCAGGCAGCGCGACAGCCTCTGGCAGAGATGCGGTGGCGGCATGGCAGACGTGGACGATTGAGCTGGTGGTTGAATTGGTGGTTGCCGGACAGACTCTCCAGATTCCCCAGTGAAGACAAACAATGGATCTCCAGAGCCCTCAGCGGACACAGGCGGCTGGAGTGAAGCAGGCTGAAGCTGTGCAGGGCACACAGCCAACTCCGGATACTGCAGCTGAGACTGCACAGGGCAGGCAGTCAGTGCAGTCCATCAGCGTGCATGTCATTGCATCATTCTGTCATGTTTAGTGGTGTGTGGCAGGCAGGATGAGGACCCACACGCAGGACTCACGGACACAGAAGGGTGGACTAAAAGAGGCAGCTTTTATTGCACTGAAGCAGAAAACAAAACAAAACCCAAAACTCTTGAATCTAAACTGAAAACTTGAAGGGACTGCAGTGATGTGGATGCTATACTGGATTGTTCTGATGAAGAGTGAGGTAAGGATGAAACTGAAGCTTACTAGTCAAGTTTACTAGTCAGTCTACACTCTTACTCTCACCTGTGGTTCCAAACTTTGGGTAGTGATGACAAAAGAGACCACCAATCCAGTCTTGAAGCATGACACAACTCCTCGACAGGAGAGACAATTAAAGTGGCTCAGGCACCTGATCAGGATACCCATGAGGACCTTCTAGGTGTGGTGTTCTGGGCATGTCCTACGAGGACGTGACCCAGAGTCTCAGGAAATACTGGCTGTACCTGCTTAGAATCCTGTTCTTGAACCCATTTATATAAGAGGGTAGGTGTTGATAAGGCATTTACTTACACCATCATGAGTTTGTGTATATCAACCTCATCTTGTTTTTGTACTTTATATAATTCATGTGTCCTGCGC